GAAAAGAACTTGAAGGAGATAGCTCCCATGATTCTGGCGCGATGAAAGACGGCGGCCCACATGGGCGGCTCGGCAGCCAGAAATAAAAGAGGTGATGGTCGGAGTGGAGGCCTGAACGACTCCAGGGAAAGAAAGAGACTGGATCGTGGTGTTTCCCGGAAGCAACGGAGTTTGGCCACCCAACAAAGGGCTGAAGTTAATAAGCTAGAGTTGCAGAGCCAGCTGGGGCAAACTTGGGAAAACTTGCTGCTGGAGTATTTGGAAGATGCGATGAGAGCACCCTCATTGGCACCATCATTAATGGCGAATCCTTTTGTCAGGACGGCGGGACAGTTGCTGTTTTCACGCAGCCTGGCGGGAGTGTCATTAGAGCCGTTGACTTCATATGACAAACTCAGAATGGGGGATGCGGGTATTTGCGTGTACCAAATGCTGGTGCAAAACTTTGCTGCATATAACTCGGGATTGAGTCTAGGGAAGAGGAAAGATACCACCTGCTTCTTGAGATGGATAATGTCAGTGATGTCTGACAACACCGTCCAGACGTGCCACCAAAGAGCGATAGGAAGTATAACGAAGGAAAGGAGGGTCGCCACCGTCATCCTGAATGTGTACCAGAGTACTGGGATCGCCAAGGGGGATGGCTCAAGGCAGTCTCTAGAGAACCACGAAAAGCTTGATGAAATACGGAGGTTCTCCAACAAGAATTTCGTCGAGGATCACGATATGCATCGCAACCTGGCTCTGACAGAAGATTAATCAAGGCCCACAAAACGGGAAAAATATCAATATGTGTCTGGAGTGATAGGGACGGCATACAAACCTTTCTTGGACTCAGAAGCTGGAAACGCTTGCATGAATTTTGAAGTACCGGAGTTGTTGAAGTTCTGGGCGGAGAAAATAATTGAGATTGACCCGACGTAATGGGAAAAACCGAGCCTAGGTCTGCTACTTGAGAAGATGCCTGAAATTATCAGTGTGCCGCGTTCGGACAAAAAGGGCGAATTAAAACTGGGAAGCGGAAACGACGTCTTGTCTATGAAATTGGGGACCATTTGGAAGTTACTGAGACCATCTTGGTGCCGACATCCCCACGCGAGCCTGATTGAGGAAGTTACGGAGCGGGTGAGATTGTCGCCAGCGAAAGATGAAGATGTGGGAAATTTTCATATAGTGCACAAAATAATCCTACCTCATCAAGGGGAATCGGGTGCAGCAACCAGTAAGCTGGACAAGCTGGTAAAGGAGATGGAGCCGGAGAGCATTCTTGTGTTGGGCGGTCCTGTGTCAGAAAACAATCCTTCCAGAGATGGACTTAGCCACTTGGTTCAGCGACATAACGGAGAAGGAGAAGAGCAAGGTCCAGATAATGGCTGAGTGTTACGCGAGCACCACTGTAAACGTAGCGACGGCACTGGAATTTTTCTCGAGGAAGTGCAGTTTACAATCTCTAGAGATGTTGGAGTCCGAACACCCGTTTGTGACAGCGTTAAGCGTGGAGTCTGGGCCAGCAGTGTTACAATTGATCCAGATGCACATCAGGGGATGGAAGATTGGTCTCGAGGCGGAGATGGGATTTCCTGTGAGCGAGGAGCGAGGACCACAGTTTACCAACGAATGCGAAGTCTCTGGTGAGACCAGTTATGGCCAATCTGTGCGGAAGCCATTATCCACTACACATGGCGATGATGAAAGCATATAGTCAGAGGGTGTTAATTGACAAGGCTTTTTCAGTGCCCAAGTGTGTACGATTGGCACGGATGTCGCACCACTCTCACAAGTTGCTGGGAGAAGATACTAGGAGAAGTGCCTGAAGATCGATCAAAGAGAGGACTTGGTGAGATCTGGGTGGAAGAGCTCTGGAGTCTGGAAAACGAGGACACAAGTTACTTTGAGAGATAGAATACGATTGAAAAGGCGATGAATAGTGCACCAGCCATGGAAGAAAACGAAGTGACGCATGAGAAAATGATGGAATTTGATCCTCTGTTGGAAGCTTCAACCTGACACATGGGGAATGCCCATGCCATTGTCTTGAAGCTCTGTTTGATGTGGGACGTGGAAGAAGTTCGGTCAAAAAGGCTACCAGGTCACCAGCAGAAGGTCACTCTTTTTGTAGTGAGCACGATGCTGGCGTTGCGATGGATCGATTAGAATGTGACAAAATATCGAGAGTCGAGAGCACCAACAGTGGAGTCAATACATGCCCTTGACTACAGCGGAGGCTTGAGTTGATCCAGACTGCGTGTAAAGTACTCGCTGTGCCCAAGGAATAAAGGCACGTGGGGAGTCGCATGAGATTCTTTTCATGGTTTCGAGCGACGCTGACGTCTTGGCTGTATACGGTGACGAAGAATCACACGAAGAAACATCAGAAAGAATATCGGCAATTCCTGGCCGAGATTGGGACCGAGGCCTTCAAGAGATCTATGTTAACTCATCGTAATGCAATAACCACGGGTGGAAAAGGGTTGGTAGAGTGTCTCGAGATAACACCAAAGCGAGGGAATCGATATTGGAGGAGGACTTGGCGAAGAAATTGAGCCTGAGCTTGCACTATTCCTTCTGTTTGAATAGGGAATCTAGAGTGAAGGGTCCGCCGAATCAGGCGAAGAAGCTACAACAGCGAAAGGAATGGATGCGAGCCTACAAACAGCTGAAGGCATGGGATGAGATCGTGATCAGGTCCGATGACGAAGAAGAAATGGCAAGGCAAATTACGATGTCGAGTGTGTCAGGACCCAGTACCTCAAAGACACGGGGCACGAACTTAAGAGGGTGTTCAGGGGTTGGTTCTTGAGTCGTGAGCGGGGGAAAAAACGGGCTTAAGTGTGAACTCAGATGAAATCTGAGGACACGGAAAAGAAATTTTAGCAAAGAATTTTTTTTATTAGTACACTATATCTAATATATAAATCAAAATGCTGCATGACAATTTTCTGAATGGGCAAAACAAAATAAAATGAAATGATAGCTTACAAAGCGGAAATTCAGGGTGAAGGTGTATGCAGATTTTGATTGCTGTTTAGCGATAATGTTACAATTTTGCATGGCTGTGAATTTTGGGGTGTAGATAAAATTAAATCTGCTGCAAACATCTGTAAATGACCACTGGCACCGTATCTTGAGACGCACTCAATTTTCTGGGGGCTCACTGACAGACGATGACACGCGATAAGGATATCGATCTTGAGCCCGGGGTGTATGTGCCAGTCGATCATATTTGGAAGTTTGACCTTGAGCATTATTTAGTCTTGATTTTGGGGTGAAATGCAATTTTCAAAAATTGTAATTGAGCATGTCGGTGGAAAGGTGGACAGTTGAAGCTGCCCAATGGTGAAAATAGAAAACTTGTGTCTTGATTTAGAACTTATTCATTTCAAACTTTTTGAGTAAAACATGATTACTGGATTAATTATAGAGTAGCTTATTAATTTAGTTACTCGATTACAGAACTCGTGTCGGTATGTAAGTACCCAATTTAAATTTCTTGAGTGTGTTTTACAATGTTATGTTGAGTTAGGAAGAGTTTTAGATTGATTCATCTGAAATGGATCAAAGTTCCACTGTCTAATAAAAAGTAACTGTATATGTAAGGTTCCGACCCTGTTTTCAACGGCGTTCGCGTGCCCTGGGTATTTTGAGACCTGAGCATGGTGGCGTACTTATTTCTAGAGTGGGGTGTATTTTGGTAGTAACCTTTAAGCTGTAACGCCGTTTGTAGTCTCATGTCGCAAGTGAACCGAATTGGCTCCGACCGTTTGAGGTAGAAAAACACAAGAGATAGTGTCCCTGTCTCTTGAGCTAATGGTTGTAGGGCCTATTTTTCTTTAATCTCATATGTGACTTAAGTATGCGACTGTTAAAAATCCTTGTGCCTTGAAGAAAAGCAAGGTTCTTTTATGATTGGTTCAAAAGTGAGCAACAGCGAGAGATCAGCGAAAGCTGAGACATACCTATCACCAAATTCAATGCTTTGTGCGTGGATTACTTCAGAGGGTGATATCAAAATTTCACTAACGAGTTCACTCCTAAAAACAGGGCAGCTACTTATTCATTATTGTACTATTGTTTTTGTTCAGTAGATAAAAATCATCATTCGCATTGAAGTAGGATGAACCCTTTCCCTCAACTCCTAGCTTCTCATTATCTGAAAACAAATTTGTAAGTTATTAATTCAAAACAGGACATTCCAGGAAGCTAAAAGTTTGTTAAAATAAAGTTTGAGTTCTTTTCCCGTTCCCGAGACCCTTCCGAATTCTGGAATCAGGACAAAAATCAGTCTCATCTTCTTTCCGGAAGGCTGGTTACGTCGTCCCAACCCCCTTCCTGGTTTTCGGGAATTGCTTTGGAATGGTCTTCCAACAATAATTTCAATTGCAATTTCAGTTTGTATCGTAGGCTTGTGGTTCAGCTCGTCTATTTCAACGAAACTTGTGTTTTTTCTCATTTTCAGTTGTCGCGAAATTTCAAGGTCGTGACGTGTCTTTATTTGTGACCGAATTCTAAAAATTTATTACGTCACGCCTAACTGACCATTCCCCATTCGTCAAATCGTCAGATTAACACTACTAATCAGCTAAAACCGCCGATCTTCCCAGTTCACGGTCACATTAAAAGCTCGAAATCGCCATGCATTTTGACGGTATTCTGGTCGAATGTCACAAGAAGCCAGGACTTAACACGCGTGACGAGTTTTGAAGATGGGAGCTAACATTGAAGCTCTAGTTCCAAACTCGGAACCGTCAGATTGTTTATTTTTAAATCGACATGTTAGCAAGAAAATCAAAACGAAAGTTTGGGATTAAGAAATTGAGAAAAATTACAAACTCTCAGAATAAATTTGGTGGGATATTGAAAATTTGATTGCCAATAAACTTATGTAACATTTTGATATATATTTTTTGAATAATGTGTTTGACACTTTTAATGATTTTTGATCTTTCTGTACATATTAGTTAGCTTTTTAAACCTGATGATGCACCAAAATGTTTGTTCCGTTAACAATTTTAACGTAATCGATAAATTGGTAGAATTCAGTCTTATAGAAGATATAGTTAACAACCGACTCGTTAGAGTCTGGCCTAGTAGAATGATGGTTAGTTCAGTCAATGCTTCGGAAGCATTGAACGATCAGCTCCGAGCTCTCTGTCTGAAGGAGTACCCATTTGGATCGGGGTCATGGGTAGGTTTTCGGTTAAAAAGTTTCCAATCTAGTAGCAGGTTACCTGCAGAAAATAAGGTCTTTGTTTGGTTTGTTTCAGCAAATGTCACCAAAGCTTCCGTTAGCAACTCGAATGTACTCGAATACAACAACAGGTAAGCTTCGAGTTATATGTGGCGCATCCCTCCTTGAACCGCAGATTAGATCCATTGAGTTGAATGGGCATATATAAAAAAAAGAACACTTTATTAGCAATTTGAAATAAATTTCAAGGAGAGAGTGTAAGTCAACTTCACATTTTATTTTTATTTTACAATATTTCACATTACACATAGTTATACATAGCCCTACTAAAGTATTAACCAGGCAATCAGAGAAAATTTTAGCTGACTTGTTAGAGTCTGGCCCAGTAAAATGATGGCTAGTTCAGTCAATGCATCGGAAGCATTGAACGATCAGATCCGAGCACTGTCTGAATTAGTACCCATTGTGATCGGGGTCATGGGTAGGTTTGCATTGACTTGGCGTACATCAATTCAGTCAAGACTCATCCAGAGTAATAAAGCCGCTTGTGGATCGATTAGGTTTTTTGAGAAAGTTTAAGAAAATAAGTGATTTTTTTCCTATTGAGCATTGAACGGACATGGGCGATTTTTTTTACTAGAGTATGGGAGTGAGAAAGATCACGTGGAAACCCTTAACCAGCTGATCACTAATTTCAAGTCTCCTTGGTACTCGGAATCAGAATGGAGCGAGGAACTTCCCTCATTGAAAAAACTGGCAATCACTGATCCACACAAACTGACGCCCGATTTTCTGCAGAAGACTTTTAGAACACTTCGACTAATTGATAAGAATGTTAGTTTGATTCCAAGAAAATGCTCCATTTTAGTCTTTAGTCGGTTTTTTGATGGCAAAAGGTCAAAGAATAAGCTAAGGAAAATCGTAGGTGACAATGAGGTTAAACAATTAGCACAATCATTGGGCAACCCCACATCCGATTTAAGAGTTTAAATTTTTAAATAGGTGACGAACATAGACGAGAAGCTTCTGGATTTGAAAAATCTTGAGGAGCTTTCATTGAGTGCAAATTACATTTCGATAATCAAGTCAGAATTCTTGCCGCCCAAATTGAAGGTAAGATCGAAAAGAGCAAAATTGATCTGAAACCTAAAGTTAATGTAATTAATAGCGCTAATTTTACTATTCTGGAACTGAAATACGTTTTTTCTAGGTTTTGGAACTGAATGCAAATTTGATATCGGACATCGAAAGTCTGATCAAGAATCCGCCCCCTCTTCAGCACCTCGGACTTGCCAAAAACAGCCTCGAGAATCTATCCAGTCATATTTCCATTACATATTGGTAAATTATAGTTAATTCCAGACTGTTGGCGATATCGGTGACCTTAGCAGTTTAGTCGGCTAAAAGCTATTGTATTTTAGGTTTATTGGTTTTCTGCTAACGCTAACCGTTTTTACATGTTGAAATTAGTTATAAGATGAAATTTGACGTCAAAATGAGAAGGTTTAGGTTAATTTACTTCGTTCGGAATCGTTGACTGAAAATATATTGCCAACAATTTGGCATCAACTATAGAATGAATTGATTAGCAAACGCAAATGTTTGAGTCGCAATGTTTTGAAGTTCAGTGATTTTGAGCTATTCACTACACTAAAGGGAGCTGCTATGCCGAGAACAATTTTTGAAAGAAAAAGTATTTGTAACCGATAAAACTTAATTGTGTGGCTTAGGCCTAACCTGATGTCTCTGGATCTAGGAGACAACAGTCTCACGGATCTGCTGCTGCTAGTGGAAAATCTAAAAACTCTTCCCAAGTTGAGGACTCTGCTCCTCTGTGGAAACCCAGTCTCAGTGAGTCATTTTTTCTTCAGACCGTTTTGTCGCTCGTATTATTAATTGTTTCATTCTTCATTCCTGCTTTTAAAAAAGTGAAAAGTGGGAATGAAAAGAATTCATAAGCCTAACTGTAAGCATGCTGGCAGGATTTAGGTGCTATTCGAATCACAGGGTCCGAATGCGCGAGCGAAAATTTTCAACCTATAGAGACGTGACATAGTTAGTAGAAATACTAACCGAATAGTGAACAAGTTCAAGAGTCTTAATTAAATCAAGAACGTGTGCGCAGTGATGGAATGGCTCAAAATTGATCGTTCAGTTTGTAAAATTGAGTTTCGGAACCATAATAGTTTTTATCTGAAATTTGGAGAAAAAAATTTCTTACCTGGTCGATAAAGTTTTGTCTGCAATCAGATGTGCCTGAAGAAGTGTGACTCGGACTACTGGTTCTGAGCCTGAAGAAGAAGAAGAAGATTTTTCTCTCAAGAGATACTCGTTATAAACAACTAAGCATACATACAACAAATACCTCTGAGAGGACAGTCAGCGAACCCACTTGGGTTGCACGCGGCTGCCCTTTACACAAAATCGACATTAACAAACTTGACATTCAATTTAATAGTCCGTAACAAAAAAATTTATGCTAAATTAAATAGGTTAGAAGTATTTTGGTAATAGTTATTCAAGTTAGACCTAATTTTCATATTCTCGCAAATGAAGCTCTTATGGTTAGCTGAACTGTTTAATTACCGGCCGTCTTAGCAATCTGATCAAGTATGGTTTAGTTTATGTCACAGGATAAAACTTTTCTCCAGAGTTTCACACAAAAAAAACTTATTTGGCACTGAAAATCGCTTGTCGTAGGCCCTTACTTCCGGTTTAATTAATATTCTTGAACTTGTTCACTATTCGGTTACTGTTTCTGCTAACTGTGCCATGTCTCTATAGACTCCATAACACACGCAGGGCAGGATGAAGGCTTTTTAGTCAGCGGACACCTAACTGAGACCATGCGGCAGTAACCAGTGAACAAGCCCAAGATGGGGTTTAGTTTGTAAGATACAAATTGAACCCAAACTAATTGATATGCAACAACTGGTGAAAGCTCAATATGCTATTGTTTTGAACTCAACTCAGATCGAATTCAAGTAAAAATAAACGTGGAAAGCATGTTGTTTTCTATGATAAAGAGATTTTTTGAGCGATGTATCACTTTTAAAAACTGGGCTTCATTCAAGCTTTGCATCTCTAAAGAGACCAAGTTATTTTTTTGTAACAGATTGAACAGCTTTGATCCGCGGTGTTTTTTTGAGAATTTTGCATATCAGTTCTAGCTAAGGTTATTTTCAACAGCCCTTTTTTCGATGAGCTGGTATTTCGATTATATACAATGAATTCAAATAAATTCTTTAAAGGTTCACTCGCATGCAGTTTGGCCAAAGATCGAAGCAGAAACTTCAAAAAATCGTAAACATATAGCTCACGAGCAGTTGTAATTCCTCTTTTACCGAATAATGATGTAACATTTTTCTGATTTTTCGTGAAAAAATATGGTACGAATTACGTGTAAATTAAGGATGGGTAAAAGGGCATTCTAGCTTACACAACCATAAATGAGGATACCGTATTAATTGATAGATTTAACAATTTTATCATAATAACGCAGTAATACCCATCGAGAAACATAATGCCTAACTTTAGAAAGGATTCTGCATTGGCGACGCAGCTTTGCATTAACAGTTTTGCTGTGCTTACGAAAATTAAGCTTGGAATCTAGTATTATTCCTAAATATTGGAATGCTAGAAGCGCTTTTGTTTGTTATATTAACTTGTACTGTTTTTCAAAGTTTAGACTTAATTTATTTGCCTTTAATCCATGAGAGACTTTATCCATATCATTATTATTTTCTGGAATCCCGCAAGATAACCTATTTATGTTTGTATCGTCGGCAATGAGAAAAACGTCGCAGCTTTTACGTGCTAATCGAAGAACCTTAATGTAAATCAGAAACAGTAATGGACCGAGTATGAGCCTTGGAGTTTGCCCAAGATGATCGTTCATCATTCATTTCAACGCATTGAACTCTTTTTGAAAGATAGCTTTTTATCCAAGTTGAACATGGCTCATCCAAGCCATAATAACCCATTTTCTTTCCAAGATAGAATGATCCAGTGTATCAAACGCTTTTTTAAATCAATCTGAACAACGGAACTTCAATGATACCTTTGTAAGAGCGAGTTTTTCAATAAATTCTGCTATTTCATCTATTGTATTATGCTTAGATCTGAAGCCATGTTGCTTGCAATAAAATAGTTAGTTCCTCCATGTAATTATATGTTCTGACATACATACACTTTTCTAAAATTTTACTCACACAATTGAGCAGAGAAATAGATCTGTAATTTTACTTATCTAACTTCGGTCCTTTTTTAAAAAATGGAAGCATTTTAGCTCTGTTTAATACAGCTGGAAACTTTCTGCTTTTCATTGAATAATTTATCAGTTTGGTCAGATGATGAACAATTTTACTGGATGCAACCTTGATTAGTTTATTACTGATGTCATCAATTCCTGCAGTTGTCTTCCTTTTCAACTGATCAATAGTTTTACTTATTCCTGTCTTGACAAGGATAAATGTAATTTGAGAATTTCGGCTCGATTGATATATCAAACGATGTTTGAGGTATAATTGAACTTAACTTTTCACCGATGCTGGCGAAAAAAATATTTAATTCGTTGTTTATATCAGGTTGAAAAGTAATTTGCAACCATTGTTAGCTAGCAATTATCTAATGACCGCATTCTTTCTGGATTTTCCTTTTGTTGTATCTAAAAACCTATAAACTTGTCCTGAGTCACCTATACAATTTTCAAACTTTTCACAGTAGAACCTTGATTTAGCTATCATCAGTTCTTTTTCGACTTTTAATCTTTGGATTTTGTATCTTTGTAAAGCCAATGGATTCGACAAGTTTAAGCTCCACGCTCGATAAAATCGATTTCTTTTTGAAATTAAATTTTTTAATGTATTTGAAAACCACTTGGTCTTGTTGTTTTTGGATACGTTTCTTATTACTATTAGGGCAAATTTGTGGAAGACTCGACTGAATTTTTCTTCAAACTCAGCAAAAGATTCATTTGAAATATGTTGCTGAGGATTAAATGATTGCAACTGCTTTTCGAGCTCTGTGTTTAACTGCTGAACTTGTTCATCGTTTTTGATGAGTGATGTGTCTCTATAGCTGACCTTGCTTTCATTTTTAATTTCTTTTAATAAAAACTTGTAGTTCAACTGGAATATGAGCCGAAAAACCTTGATTATACAAAAGGTGTAGTTTTTGATGATGTACATCTTAAACTATAAATTGATCTAGGCAAGTTTGTGCCATTTCCATGATTGTTGTTGGTTCCTGATTGAGAATATTGAATCCATTGGAAGTTATGACATCTAAGTATTTTGATGTGGCTAGATTATAAAGCATTATATCGATGTTTATATCGCCACATATAATGACGGGAGTGTTTTTTAGTGATAGACGATCAAGGAGAGAGTCAAATTGTTCAATAAAAAACATTTTGTCAGTCCTAGGAGGGTTGTATATCACGACTAAAATATAAGTTTTTTTCATTATTCTAACTTGCATACTTTTCGCAAGTTTACATTTTATTTCTTTGATCACCTCACAATTTTTGTCAACTTGAATCATTACACCTCGTCATTTCATTCAAATTCTCTTTTTTGATATCAATGGTTCAATCCCAGTTATTTTATAACAATTTATTTAGTATGTTTGATTTAGCCATGTCTCAGTTAGAGCTAATATGTTAGGTGGTGACTCAAGACTGCCTATAAGCGCTTCTAGTTCATCGTGGTGTTTTTTTTAAAATAAATCTTGTATTTATTTTTGGTACCTTTCAAAAGTGAGCAACATGGTTTTTAGCACTACTAGCACTTTGTTGGCTTGAGGATATCATTTCATTGTTTATAGAAGCAGCTCTCAACGTCATTGAATGAGTACTCTAGTTGTATTCCTCCTTCATATAGACCTCTTTTTCATTGCACCACCTCATTGTTTGTATATTTGAAGTAAACAAATCCCTCGCGCGTCAAGGCAGATTCTATTCGGGCATCTTTTTTCATCGAATTGAGGAACTTGACTCTAGGTGCAGTCAAATACTCAAATATATTTTCACGTCTCTCATCGTAGAAGACTGAAAAAGTTTCTTCTTATTCCTTAAGAGATTGACTTTGCCGATTCTTTTTGCGAAGCGAACGATCATAGTTCGTGGATGATGTTTCCTCGTCGGAAATTGAATGGCAATTTAAATGTCAGATTCCGAAACATTAGCTTCTATTGCGTTGGCTATTTTGTTGGCTTTCTAAATACTTTCTTCATTGCTTTTTTACATTTTTCGTCCAATTATTCTGACGTTGTCTCTGCGGTTGTATCCTTCTATAAGTTCAGCTTCACTACGAGCTTCTAGGTCACATTGTCGCCCCTGATAGTCTGTTATCTTTAGCTTCATCGAGTATTTGCTTCTTTAGCAATTGCATTTTATGGGCTATAGCTTCGTGAACAGTTTTAAGGAGTGTCGTTTTTATTTCATTTATAATTGTTGCCATTTGCGAGTCTAGAGTTTGTTTGCCTGAGCTTTTAAGATCTCTGACCAGCGATGTTACTTCAATTTCGTCTAATATGGGGCTCAACTCAGAACAAGATCTTTTCTACTTTTTGTCTTTCGGAGCGATGGGAGTTTGATCTTGATACCTCAGCTCTGGATAATCAATAGTTTCGTTTGAACTAATATTGCTGGCCGAAGCTCCTTGTTCACCTACATCATGAACCATGTTACTTTCCATTTCGGCTGCTGAAACTATTTAATAAGTTTATCATAACAATTAGGCTGTCATCTTCATCTGGCGAGTTCATTCAACGAATACTCCAAATTCGACTTTCTGTTTGATCCTGATTGCTGTCTGTTGGAGCTTAACAAGAAGTTCTTCAAAATACTTTACAATGAATCAAATCTGTGCAATTTGTGCATTTTATGTGGCTGCAATAACTGTAAAGACTTAAAGAAACTCAATTTTACAAACTGAACGATGAATTTGTGTTTGATACGAACCCTGGGATTATAGTCCTAAACCTTCTGTTGTTGTTTTTGTTCCGACTTGCGATACTAAAGTCACCGATTATTTGTGCTTATTTACCGATTATTTTTTTCAGACAATTTTCGACTTTTTAATTAGCCTTTTTTGACGGAATTTTTTTGATATCTTCCAAAAGGTATTGTTGTCCTGAGCTTAAATTTGAAAAGATATTTTCCCTTTTGAAAAGATATTTCCAAAATTTTTGTCAAAAATGGCTAGTTAAAAAGTCGAAATATGTCTGAAGAAAAAAAATTCACCCCGAGCTCAAATATTCCGTTACTTTCAAATCGAAAAGTCGGTAAAAAAATTCATAACCCGAAAGTGAGTCAAGTACTCCTAGGGGTTGCAATTTTGCAACCAATGGTGGTTGCTCATTGCTTTATAATTTTCCAGGTATGACGTTTTCTATGAGTTTCTAGAAGTATTTCAAGAAGCATTTATTAACAAATATATTTAATAATATCTCTTGAGAAATAAAGCATCGTCTCCTAAACCAAATTGTTCTAAAACCGTAGCAAGCTCCTATTTGCTTAAAGTACATTTAATGCATTTGAGTTTTTGTAATTTTCGAAGCTTCGTTTTTGATTGGCTAATTTTGCTTTTCGCGCATATCTGTCTTTGTTATTCAGGACGCCACCGATATTTGTTTTAGAAAAATTTAAAAGTGAAATGAAGGGAAACTTTAAAGTGGATTGAAGCCAAGAGGACCGGTTCCAAATATCAAGCGCTTTTTGATTGCGGAATCACGAGATAAAAGACATACCATTTCTAACAGAGGTTAAAAGCCAGTTAATTGGGAACTGACTTACTCATGTGGTCAATTGAGTCGGTGTTGTCGTTTCAGTTGATGCCAAGTTACCGTGGCTACACAGTCGACAGTCTCGGAAGTCTCACCAGTCTGGATGACGTCATAATCACTGCCGACGAGAGACACGACTTCAAAGGCCTGAACAAGAGAGGGACTGAGCTACTGAAGAACGAGGCCAGGCTTACAATTAAACTTCCCTTTGTTAGGGGCCTGCCTAATCCAGCCGCCGAGGTAGATGAGGTCAGATTACATGATATTCATACTCTATTAGCTCTAGAGGTGTGCGGCAAAAAAAGTAGACATGTCCTGAAATAGACACGTAAGCGAAATAATTTTTTTTTCTGTTCTCGATTGGATTGGCTTACGACGAGTCTACTTAATGACCTTTTTGCTACGTAACCAGCTCTAGGATATCCTTCAATTCTTTTTAATTTTGAAATTCTATTCGATAAATAAACCACTCACAGTTGAAAAAAATTGAACAAATACCTTTATTGAATGTTTCGTCAGATAGAATGAGCTGGTTCGCACTTTAACTGTTTGCAATGTTCTAGGCCGGTGCCTCTGAGTTCCCAGTGATTGAGAGGAAATACTATCTCAAGTTTCCATTCATCTCCAATGTAGAGAAGCGACTGCTCAAGTCAAGTGAAATGCTAAATGAAGGCCAGGAGAAAGAAAATGCAGCCAAAAAGGTGGGTTTTATTACAAACCGGTGTTAAATGACTCCGAGCTGCTTGACTTCGAAAAGTTTTTTATATGACTTGAAATAGCAAATCGAAAACTAAAGCTGAAAATTTGAAAAATTGTGGGCTTAGCAATAATTTTTTGTAACGTAAATTTAATAAGTAAGGTTTGCTTCGCAAACCCAAATATAGCTTCCTGATTTTTTTCAGGCTCCAAAGGGCAAAGCAAAGTCACCAGTGCAAAAGTCAATCGAAGAGCTGGAGCAAGGTAATGAACTCTTTTATCGTGACTGGAGTTTATCTTTATGGAAGTTTAAAAAAAAACATTTTAAGAAATTGTGCGCACAGTTAATTTGTGGCATTTAGTTTATTTTAAAACTTTTTATTAAAACCTCATACAAAAAGACATTGAATTACAATGTTTCATTTAAAAAACAGTTATTTTCACTGATGGCATAGTCATCGATGGTTTTTATCGCTCCAAAATAGCGTTTTTTTTAATTATGACCTTTGTCGAAAAGTTGAGACCACCATGTATAGTACAGTGCTGATTTAAATTAACCGGACAAATTGCGTTAAACTTGAAATTTAAAACGCGTTTTTCTCAAATTGGGTTAAGTTTAGATGAAAACTTATGAAGACAAAACTTGCTTGAAAGTTTAGCAGAATTCTTATGGTGTAATTTGTTTTGCGAAGTTCGGGCCCAACATTTTACCCCAAAAAAGGGTAACTTTGGCTTTTCTTAGTTAATCAAAAATTTCGCCACAAATACCCAGTCAATCACAGACTTAATAATATCAAAGTGAGCCCCTTACAAAGCCCAACAAACTTTCAGAAAGATATATTCTCCAAAACTTTGTATAAGTTAATTTATTTTTGTTTGATAGACAAAAAAGGTCGTTCTTACTATAAAAAATACCAACTATTTATTTAAAAACAATTTTCAATTTTTTTTTGGAGAATATACTTTTCTTAAAGTTTTTAGGCCTACATAAGGAGCTCACTTTGATATAATAATGTCTGTGATTGACCGGGTATTTTTTGGCGTAATTTTTGATTAACTGTCGTGAGGCGATCTTCGGTACCTCGTTATTTACTTGTTCTTTTGCAGTCTCACTGCAGATTGATGTTAATTATACTAACCGAGGTCATTGTGCTAAACTATATTTAATACCACGCAGAGCGTGTTCATTCTCTTCCGATATCTATACTGTTTGCTAGATAAACTTTGTTCAACTTTAAAACTCATGTTCATTCAGGATAAACTTCATATTCAGAATATTTATTCGAAACCAAGCAATAAAGTGATTCAAGCAACTAATTATTCAACTCTAAAACAACTTACTTATTGTTCAAACAACAAAGTTTTAATCCTAAAAGCTCGGTAAATCTTATGGCGGAGCCAGCAGTTCCTGTGAACGAAGACAGGACTGACCTGTTAGGCATTCCCTCTTTCTGGGCGAAAGCCTCCATTAACCCGCCATTCCTGTGGGAATCTTGGATTGCTCAATTTTTCTTGGCCGCTGGTCTGAAGGATAATATCAATCCTCACGATCTTTTAACCGAACCCACTGAGGTTGTTGATGAACCTCCGCCAAGACCTGAGTCAATTGCTGATGGCGAGGACGCTGGAGCGGCCGAAGCCTGAAGACAGCGGGATCAAGCGGCGATTCGAAGAATTAACGAGTTAAACTTCGAGAGGAGGAGAAAAGGCCCTCGGATCAGTCAGAATTGGTTTTATCACGAAGCTGAAGCCCGTATGAAGTCTCGCTTGTTCTTCGCTCTGGGGAACGAAGGGAGGAGACGATTCGCTGACTCATTTCCTCACACGGACATCAGTAATATTCCTTTTCGTGAATTTCATAATGGCTGTGAAACATTATTCAAGGTTGAACGAGAATATACGGTGGAACGTATCAAACTGTATAACACGGTTTTCATGCTTGAAAATGACACTTTCTCGTCATTCTACGCTCGTCTGAGCGCCCAAGTGGCTCTGTGTAATTGGCCTCATGATCAAGAAAGTGAGACTTTGAAAGTCCTCTTTATTGGACGAATTCGAGATATAGATGTTAAACAACAACTTATCAAGGCTAAGGCCGATCTAGATGGCACCTTCAAGCTCGCACTTGAGTGCGAAAAAGGGACAAATACATCTGCCCAATTCCAAAAACTACTTCCTCATAATCAACATTCAAATGGTATCAAGGTTAAAAAAGAACCTACTTTCTCCATTCAATCATCTAGAGGGAAACGGAATTATCCTCAAAACCAAAGTGATCGATAAGCGTCACAGAACAATCTAACAATTAAGTCATGTTACTTTTGTGGTAATCCTTTTAGTCTGGAGCACCGAAAATCTTGTCCACGTAACGTGTAATCTCTGTCGGAAACGAGGTCATTTCGCGAAATGTTGTAATTCATCGAAACGACGTGTCAATCTGGTGCAAGAAAATGAGAAGTCAGGTCCCTCTGGATTGTAATTTCATAGATGTAGACCAGGATAGTGACCCAAAATTGAGTAAGTGCGAATTGTCTGTTAACCAACTAACTTGGCTTGGATATGACATTAATGAGGACGGTTATTCTCCTAAATTTTCAAAGATCGATGCCATACAAGCACTCAAACCACCGAGAACATCAAAGCAATTTCGTTCTTTTATGGGCACGTTAAACCATTTGCAAAGGTTGATTCCTGATTTGCATACCCATACTGTTCATTTACGGGCATCCTTAAAAGCCTGTAATAAACAGTCGTTCTTGTGGGGCGAGGAACGACATAATCATTCTGATTGCGAAAATTCCGAGTCTTTATCACTTTGATTCATCGAAGGGTTCGAGGGTCAAATGCGATGCTAGTCATAATGGTTTAGGAGCTTGCCTCGAACAAGAAGTTGAACCTGGAGTTTGGGCTCCAACTACTTTTGCTTCGCGTTTCCTTAACAATGCGGAGGTTAAATATAGTACAAATGAATTGGAATTATTGGCAATCGTTTGGGCCTGTGAACATTTCCGTACTTATCTGTTAGGTACACGTTTTCAAGTGTTGACCGATCATAAAGCTATCATATCAGCATAAAATGAAAATTATAATAATAAATCGTATCAGTCTCGTCTTGCTCGTTGGGCAGATCGTTTGTTACCTTTTGATTTTGAGGTTATTCACGTCCCAGGGGTCACACTGGGGATAGTCGATTATTTATAACGTTATCCTACGTTTCCAGTTCCCGTTTCCAGCATAAGTCGACGCCCTCTTTTGGCAAATAACGCAAACAATCCATTTGCATACTACGATATGATTGGTTGAAACATTGAGTAACACTATTATCGCCCCCAATCGGCGAGTGACGTAAACAACTAGTACCATTATACCGTGATACAAATTGAACGAACACCTCTTGCGGCGGCAAACAATTTTGATCCCACACCGTAGAGACATTATAAGAGTTAATAAAAGAGAGGGCCTTTTGGAAAGCCTCAATAGATTTAACTACGAAAGGTTCATCATATTTAGAGGGCTCAGGAGCTGGAAACGTAGGATAACGTGATAAATAATCGACTATCCCCAGCGTGACCCCTGGGACGTGAATAACCTCAAAATCAAAAGGTAACAAACGATCTGCCCAACGAGCAAGACGAGACTGATACGGTTTAATATTATAATGTTCATTTTATGCTGATATAGCTTTATGATCGGTCAACACTTGAAAACGTTGTAACCTAACAGATAAGTACGGAAATGTTCACAGGCCCAAACGATTGCCAATAACTCCAATTCATTTGTACTATATTTAACCTCCGCATTGTTAAGGAAACGCGAAGCAAAAGCAGTTGGAGCCCAAACTCCAGGTTCAACTTCTTGTTCGAGGCAAGCTCCTAAACCATTATGACTAGCATCGCATTTGACCCTCGAACCCTTCGATGAATCAAAGTGATAAAGACTCGGAATTTTCGCAATCAGAATGATTATGTCGTTAAAGGCCTTATTCTGTTCCCTCTCCCCACAAGAACGACTGTTTATTACAGGCTTTTAAGGATGCCCGTAAATGAACAGTATGGGTATGCAAATCAGGAATAAACCTTTGCAAATGGTTTAACGTGCCCATAAAAGAACGAAATTGCTTTGATGTTCTCGGTGGTTTGAGTGCTTGTATGGCATCGATCTTAGAAAATTTAGGAGATCAACCGTCCTCATTAATGTCATATCCAAGCCAAGTTAGTTGGTTAACAGAGAATTCGCACTTACTCGATTTGAGAGCCCATCCTTCCTCATCAAGTCTATGCATGACCTTTTCGACCAGTTCGTTATGGCCTTGAACATCTCCTTTAGTGACTATCAGAATGTCGTCAAGGTAACAAATAACACCTTCTAGCCCTTGTAAGGTACAATCCATTGCCTTCTGGAACTCGGTAGGCATGTCAGTCAGCCCATAAAATCCGGTCTTGAATCGGTACGTTCCCGTCGCCTCGCTACCTAGAATATTGAAATTACAGTGACTGAGCTAGTGAGTGATGACAATGGCAACTGACTAAACGCATACTTCAAATCCAAGGACGTGAACCAAACCTTTCCAGGAACATTTCTTGTTATGATTTGTGCCGCGGAATCAATGAGTTCATCAATATTCGGCATCTGGTACTTGTTTTTCCAGATCTGAGCGTTCATTGGCTTAGCATTAAGGGCCAGTTTAATAGAGCCACCTTTCTTTGCAGTTAGCACAATCGGTGCTATGAAGAAATCAGTCGTACACTTGTCCAACTTTTCAATATGTCCTTGCTCCACCAGAAGTTTTATCTCGTTTGCGACCCTATCCTGAATATGAATCGGAACTTTACGTCCTTTAATTTGACGTGGCACCAACGGGAACTTGAAGTTAGTATAGACTTTATGATGTTTAGATCGGCCCAAACGACTGAACAGATGGGCGTATTTCTTGGTAAAGAAGGAACTCCAGCATTCTGATATCGGATCCGACGAATTATACTCCAGCGACTGAACTGATTCAGCTTTCAACTGTGTAGTAACAACACCCAGTTGCTCCTGCAAGTCCAAACCAAGGAGATTACGAGCTCTGTTCTCCGAAATGAGGACCTGAGCGTTATCCACCCTCCAGCCACCAGAAGAAATTGGGATTTGGATCGACCCAAGTAGACGAATGGGCTGCTTATTATAGTCCACATACAAGGTGTCAACAGGGTAACGTGCGATATCGCGAAACTCAATTGATGTATTTCGTTGCAGAAGTAAATCACAGCA